TAGCAGTCAAAGCATACCTTGCATTATCCATTCTCTCTATCAGCTCTGCCTCCATGCTCAATGGACTCTCTGGTGCCGCATGCATAACTAGACAAGCCATAATAGCAAATGTGTGCGTAAACAAAGATGCAGAAACCAAAATAAGACGCTCGCCATTAATTACACAAAAAAAATTAAGCTCCGAAAATTAAAATTAAAAATAATTTAAAAAGATTACTAAAACCGTTAAGATTCTCGGCTGCATAAATAAGACTTATAAATATTCACTGCAGAAATTTAAAATCCGACGCACACCAAAGAAAACGCTAAGAGAGAGATAGCAGCATTGGGAATTGAAGGAAAATTACAGAAGAAGACAAGTGATTTCATGTTAAAGATACAATTTGAAAAGAATCATCCAAGTACCAGAAGAAGCGAAACGAGGACGAGTGGAGAGAGGTGGAGAGAAAGGAAAAGACGGTCTCGCATCGATAGAAGCAAGAGTGAGTTTTCGTTTCAGCAAAAGGTGCTTATACTTATCAGATTGCTTTTTCAATGGTGCTGCTCCAGTAATGCTCCAGCACCATAGAGGTTGCAGAATGCTAAGCTCCATAGCTTACTCTCTGCTCGCGCTACTTTGAACGGCCGTTGTCCATTCTTTTATTTCGAAAAGAAAAAATTGCTTATAAAGCGTTCTTGTTTTATAGCAGAGAAGATAATAAGGAGAAGCCTGAATGATGCCAGCTCATCTTCTTCCTCTCTCATAAATAAATCAATTATTAAGAACAAGAAAATTAAATAATAATTCAATTGAAACGACCCAAAAATATCTAAAGAAAATAAAAAATAATTAAAGTGCGAAAGTGTAATAAATGTTCAGAATTTGCATTACTCACACAAATAACTCAAAGTAGCAAACAGTGTTACGAAATTCATAATTTTGAAAGAAACATAAGAAATAAGGAAATAAACGGAAAATAAAAAAAAATCTAGTATCTACTCGCAATCTTCTTGAGGTTCGGGCTCTGAAATCTAGTTATCTTGATCTGAAATAGTTAAATAAGAAATGAGCTATACTACTCTAGTAAAGACATCACACTATATCACCGACACAGAACTAAAAATTGGTATAAAATCGAAAAACACTAATAAAGCACTAAATTTAACAAACTCATTTATCAATCATAAAATTATTTACCGTTCATTTATCGTAGTGGAGTTTATGAAAACAATCTATACAGACAATAATATCATACAGATCATAATTTCATGTAAAATCAGCAACATAGCACATATCATAAGTTTATATACATCGTCAATAAACCAAACAATAACTATTACTTTTTTCACCAGCCTACTAGTATCTATGGGGGTTCATAGGGATGTCCCTGTTACACACGAACTCTTTCTTTTAACAATCTCAATTACGGGGCCATCCTCATACCCGTCCGGTATGGGCGCTAAATTAATAAATCTCAATATCCCGTCCGATATGAGAGTAAAGCGAGTCGTCCCCATACTCCGTTCAGTATGAGTGTCAAATTATCAAGTTTCTATACCACGTTCGATATGAGACAACGTTCACGGTAAGGTTGCCTATGTAGCCAGTCCGTCCACCATCTCCTAAGATATCCAGTAAGGCTGCCGTCTTCATCTATTTATTTTTCTATACAACTTTCTCGTTTTCTGTTAATCTCCATTTTCCAAATCAACCATAATCACATAAACAAACAAACATGCATCAGGGAATACAATCATATCTCAATTTTCTAACTAAACGGTGGTAACGTAAGGCAGGAATACATGCATTCAAACAATAAAATTGATAAATCAGATACTATCATACTTTTAGACTGTAAAATAAATCAACAGAGAACAATTTCCAGTTATGGTTCCATTAGCAATCTGTAATTAATTATGCACATTTATTAAATTCGCACAAAATATTATATTATATTTATTTAGACTTCAATTCTATTATAAGGAATAAGGTGAATGATTCTTACTCGATTTGATATTCGAAAAGCTAAGCTATTCGATTGCACCTACGGGTGATTCTCGGTTTCCTGAATTTTTCTTTGGGAATTAAAATGCGCTAATAGTACCTACAAATGTCCCAAACAAACTCAAAATCAGTTCGGGGGCCCACTTGGCCAATTTCAGAATTCTGGCATGATGGCTCCGCCGTGCTTCGGCGACGGTCTGCCTTAGGTTGGCTGTTTTCGGTGATTCTGCATCAATTCTTACGAGAAAACACATTAAAGGGCATCGGTTGGCCCAAAAAATACAAAAAACCAAAACTCACCGGCGGCGCCTCCAGCTCACATTGCGGTTGGGTGTTTTGCTCTAGTCAACCTGTAGAGAAGAGCACGGTGATCACAACAGTGAAAAAATTACACAAAACGGGAATCGGGAAGGGCCTCATCAGAGGCATTTTATGAAATTTCTTGCAGCGGCGGCGCCGGACTTCATCGATATTTTCTGGCCAATTGGCCGGTCTTTTTGCTCTGATTTGGCTATGCGTGTGCTTAAAATTAAATTTCGAGCAAAAGAAATTTTTTTTACCTTTTTTGTTGGTCGAAAAAAGTTCCGGTGCGACGGCGGCGGTGTCCTTCCGGCGACCGGGTTTTCTTCTCCAGCGAGGAGGTCTAGCGGCTAGGGTTAAGGTTTGGTGTGGATGGAGGTTATTTATATCCGTCTGCTTTTGATCTGGGCCATCCATCGCGTTTGATTTAGACCGTCTGATTGCGATTAAATAGAGAGTGAATATGAATCGTTCATTGCGATCCAATCTGGACTGTCTATCACGATCTACTTTGGACCATCCGATCATGTTCAAATCTGACTGTCTGATCACATTTGGGGAGGGAACGCATCTGGGCTGTCCGTGCGCGCGAGAACGGATCTTGGTCGTTCAATCGCGGGCGCATGGATCTCCCGCGTGGCACCGCGTTAGCGTCCGCTGCTACACGACGCGTCCTAATTCGTCGGGTCTGCTGACCGGGCGTCTGACATGGTGAAAACTTCTCAAAATTGCATTTTGACTCCTATTTTCTGATTTTTTTTCAAAAATACCCTCAAAACCAAAATTTTCACTTATTTTTCCCCAAAATTATTTTTAATTTAATCCTCTATCAATGTTTACTTCATTTTTACTCTAAATTTAAATTAGAAAATTGAAAAATTAAGAATTTATAGTTATAATTAAACCTTAAATTATAAAAAATTTATTTAGGGTGTTACAACTCTCCCCCACCTTGAAAGAAATTTGATCCCTCAAATTTGTCTCTCCCACTCTAAATCAAACAGCTAGGGATATTTGGCTCTGAAGTCTTATTCTAGCTCCTATGTGACCTCTCTCAGTGTGTGGTTCTGCCATAGGACTTTAATAAAGGAAATTTTCCAGCTGCGGAGTAATCTGCTCTTTCAATCCACAATGCCGACTAGTAGTCCTTCGTAGGATAGATTCTCATGGAGTGAAAAAGCCTCGTGGGCCAAGATGTGAGAGGGGTCCGGGTTGTACTTGTGTAGCATGGACACATGAAACACATTATGGACCTTGAAAAGTTCTGGAGGCAGTCCTAGTCTTTAGGCGGCAGTACCAATTCTGTATAAGATTTCAAATGGTCCAATAAATCGGAGATTCAGTTTCCTCCTCTTGCCGAACCTATTGATTCCCTTGAAAGGAGTGACGTTGAGGAACACCCGATCGCCTTTCTCAAATTCTAAAACCATCCTCCGGGTGTCCGAATAACTCTTCTGCCTGCTCTGAGCCGTGTAGATGTTCTTCCTAATCTTAACTATTTTGGATGTAGTCTCCTCTACCAAATCTGGGCTGAATAGTTTTCTATCATTCACTTCTTCCCAACAAATTAACGATCTGCATGGGCGCCCATATAATGCCTCACACGAGGCCATGTCAATACTCGCTTGGTAGCTATTGTTGTAGATGAACTCTATCAGGGGTAGATGGTCATCCCAATGGCCCCCGAAGTCAAGAACACAAGCTCGGAGCATATCCTCAAGTGTGCAGATTGTCCTTTCTGAATGTCTATTAGTCTGATGGTGGAATGCAATACTAATGGACAGGTTCGTTCTCATGGCTTGTTGAAAGCTAGACCAAAATCGAGAAGTAAACCTAGGGTTCCTATCGAATACTATTGTTACTGGCACTCCATGTAATCTGATTATTTTTCGGATATACATTATTGCTAATTTGTCCAAGGGATTGGTCATCTTGATGGCCAAGAAGTGGAAAGACTTGGTGAGTCGGTCAACAATTACCCAGATGACATCATGTCCTGAGCATGCCTTAGGTAATCCTGTCACGAAGTCCATGGTGATATATTCCCACTTCCACTCCAAGATTGGTAATAGCTGAAGTAGCCCACCTGAGCGTTGATACTCTACCTTGACCTGCTAACATACCAAACACTTAGAAATAAAGTCAGTTATATATCTTTTCATCTCATTCTACCAAAATTGGGGTCGCATATTTTGGTACATCTTAGTGCCTCCGGGATGCATGGCGAACTTTGAGGTATGAGCCTCTGTCATAATATCTCTCTTTAACTTATTGTCATCTAAAAAACACACCCTGTCCTGGAATATAAGCAACCAATCGGCGGAGATTCGAAATTCTGAGTTAACTCCCTGTTCTGCATCTTTCTTGAGGGCTATTAGGGTGGAATCGGCGGACAAAACTTCCCTTATTCTCTAGATTAACTCAGACTGAATGGTCAGGTGGCCCAAACATGTGACTTTCCTCAGGTCCTGAAGCCTCACCTATTATGTGGCCCCTATCTGTTTGTATTCTGAAACCATCAATTGGGCTAATGTAACTGCACTTTTCCTACTGAGTGCATTAGCTACCACGTTGCCCTTACTCGAGTGATACAATATGTCGCAATCATAGTTCTTGAGAAGTTCTATTTACCTTCTCTGACGCATGTTGAGATCTTTTTGAGTGAATATGTGTTTCAAACTCTTGTGATCGATATATATCTGAAAGGTCTCTCCATATAAATAATGATGCAAAGTCTTCAAGGCGTGTATGATTGCAGCAAGCTCTAGGTCATGAATGAGATAGTTTTTCTCATGACTCTTCAACTATCTGGACCCATAGGCTATGATTTTCCCATACTGTATCAAAACATAACCCAGACCTAGGTAGGAGGCATCACTGTAAATTGTATATCCACCCAATCCACTCGGTAAGGCCAACACAAGTGCAGTAGTCAGTCACTTCTTTAGTTTTGAAAAACTTCTTTCACAGTTCTCGTTTCACTCAAACTTGACATTCTTCTTTGTGGGCCGAGTCAGAGGAGCAGCTAAATTAGAAAACCCTTCCATAAACCTGCGGTAATAACCCGCCATCCTCATAAAATTACGAATCTCCTTATCTGATATCAATTTTTCCCAACCGAGCATTGCTTCAACATTTTCAGGGTTCATTAACACTCCATCCTTTGATATGATGTGTCTTAAGAAGACAGTCTGTTCAAGCCAAAACCCGCACTTACTCAACTTTGCATATAGCTTCTTTTATCTGAAAACCTGTAAAACTTAAGCTAGATGGTGAGCATGTTCCATTCTACTTTTTGAATAAACTAAGATGTCATCAATGAACATAATAACAAACTGATTCAGGAATTATCTGAAAATCTTGTTCATCAAGTCCATGAAG